AGAAATTATAGAAATTAGAGAAAGTTGAGATCCATGATCGATGGGATCATCATTCGCTAATTGTAATTGGCGCAGTATTAATGCGTCATAACTAGACTATCACTAACAGCGGCAATTACAAGTTCTTTCTTGTAAACCTTCACAATGGATTGAAAAAGATACAATAAATATATTGTATGAATATCATCTCAAAAGACGAACTATCGCAAGTATTGATTGGTTATATTTATTTACATAGTAGGTAGCTTGTGAAAATAATATTATTGAAATGCATACATCATTAGCTAAATTGTATCCATCCTACCATCAATTTAATAATCGTGATTGAAGTTCTATGTCCAAAACAGCTAGGTGTACAGATGTAACACCTTTTGATAGTGAAGTATCTCCAGTAATTACATTTTAATTATAAGTTTCTTTCAAACTAAAAAAGTAAAAAAACTAGCAATTTATATAAATGATATAGTATAAATTTTGGACACAGTCTTCATATCCTACAGATGATAAAAAAACTTTGAAGAAACTTTTTAAAGAATTTGTATCCATCAAGCATCCAAAATCTATTACAAATAATTTGGGATTGTTTTAGCACAAAACAAAAAAAGGTTCTGAAGGAATACAACAAATTTTATCTATTATTACACATCAGTTTTCCTATCAAGAATTATGAAACAAACTTGGGGTGAGTATGAACATTTTTGTTATACAGTAGCGCTCAAAAGTATTGCATCACCTGAACACAAATTTTAAAATGGTAATATCTTGTTATTAAAAATGCGCAGTATTACAAAACTTTAATTAATGAGTTTGTCATACCTCAAATTTTATCAATCTACTTAATCTTTTTTTAAAGGGTAAAAATATGTTTTCTTTTGTTATGAAGCTTGAAAAATAGCAATACAATTATTTTAAACATTTATTCGCTAATTTTTTTATGTTTTAAAACAACCATGTAGCATAAATAAAAAAAATGCTGTTAATAATTATACTCCAAAAATTACTGTAACAATTTTTGTTTGTGATTTACAAATTACTAGTGATCTACAAATGTCGATCATGATTCTCAACTTTCTACCGTTTCTCTGATTTCTCTAATTTCACTAATTTCATGGTGATCTCTAATTTCACACATTTCTATAATTTCTATAATTTCTATAATTTCTTTAATTTCTTATTGATCTTTAATTTCTTATATTTCTTTACTTTATTAAATATCTATTTTCTATTAATGTATTTTATATAAATGTCTTGTATTTTTACCTTAATAAAAAAAGGAGTTAACTAATTATCTTCAAAATAATAAATACAGTAAACTCTTGATATAACGAATTCTAGGATCTGGATATCAACTTCATTATAAGCTTATAACGAATTTTTTA